ACCCCCATAAATTAGAGCGTGTTTACGCAAATCGGTGGGGTCGCGCGGGCGAGAAAGGCAGGCAAGCGAGGCAGGTAGATAGGTGCGCGAGAAAGGATGGATCCGATCCTTCTCCAACCCCTCGTAAATGTTTCGTTTTTATCCCCCGGCGACCACGCACCCTATTCGCTCGGGCGGGAAAAAAATGGCGGCCGATCCCTCGGCGATCTACGATCACGCGAGCTGTTCGTCCGTCCAACCGTTCGTCCGTTTCTCCCGTGGTGCGCTTCCGGCCATCCGCGATATTAAAGGAGCACGATCAGGAACGAGGCATCTACCTGTGCCGGCGGCACGAATGACTCATAATCACAACGCGATATCGCGATAAACGAGCACCGCCGGAGTTGAGAAATCGCGCGCCCCGCGCGAGGCGACTTCCTTCGTCACGCGCCGCGAGCGGAAGCTGTCGGTTTTCGTTAAATCGAACCGTACGCGCCCGGCTGACGGAGCGGAACGGCGGGGTAACGCGAGTATCATCGCTTTTTCTGCTACCGGAATTTATTGAATAAATTTCGAAACTCGCTCGCGGTGATGAGAGTTTGAAATTCGACTTGGCAAAAGTTTCCGCCTCCGTTTCTGCGTCTCTCTCTCCTACCGCGAACGTTACCCTATCCGACTTCCGCCTTTTACTGCCGCGATAAAGAATGCAGCAACGCGCGTGGTACGGGGTTGAAGTAGCGCGATAAGGAAGTAATGAATGCGGTTCGGGGGAGATGGCCGCGCGAATATATATCGCGCTTCACGATTACACGACGAGATAAAACAATCAACCCTTGTTACTACAATTAAAGTCCCTCGCGTTATTTGATTTAAAATTCCGAGATTTTATCAATTTCACACGGGAATAATTCCGGCACCGCGGTACGCGGTCTAACGTAAACGAGTCTCGTATTCATCGCGCGAAGAGGGTAGAGTACGCCACGGAAATTTAATCGGAACGCCGCTCTGAGCGCGGCACAGGCAAATATTTCGCGGTGCAACGACGTTGTTTTAACCGCGCGCGAACTCCGGACGAAGGAGATAGTGTTACCATCGTGTTCTCGCGAGCGAGCGTCTCCCGCTGTCATTGTTGTCCGCGATAAAGCGTTCTTTGTGCCCGTCGTGCGCACGAGAATACCGCCGCACTGGCGGCGATTCCGCCGGTAAAATACCGTAATACCCATCCGATCAAATTCGCGTACGCATTGCAAAACAACCAGCGAAAGAAGACGAGCGAGCTATCTATAAAGACGTTCCTTACACGCAGACAATTTTGACCTTGTACTTGTGCGTAGATACGAGCAAAAAATAAATCGCGCATGATAGTTTTATCGCCGGGCGGAAGATATAATAATGAGAGAATTACAAGAAAGCGCTAACGATAAGAAATATAAATAGCTCGAAATTCTGTTGCGCGGCTAATTGGTCAAAAACGTTTCCCATTCATCATCGATGACATATCACATGTGTGAAGTGAAATCATAATCACATTGCAATGGAGAGTACGAAGAAAATATAACGGAAACAAAATTCTAATATAAATAAATATATTTTAATATTAATATTGATATCTTGAAATAATATCCAAAATTAAAACTTAGTCTCTTTGAGTAAACGCTGCTTTTTTAAATGCAAAATAATTATGGTAAGAAATTAAAAACTGAATATAATATACATGAAGTCTTAAGGAATTTAAGGAAAAAATATCTTAATTGATCTGGATAATATAAAATCGAAATATATGTTTTGGAGGACAAGTGTGTGCCAAAAAATTTAGATTTAATAAATTAATTCATATATTTTTTGAAACTATTTTTGCATAGTCCATAACATCTTAAAAAATCTTGCGAAAAATATGAGCTAGAGTACGGATTGAAAATAACAATTTAAACAGCAAAAAATAGAAGTGCACTCGTTTGTCAAATTTATGTTCGCGACTAAATTTCGTGTTGCTAAAGTTGCGAAGACAGTTTGAGCCGAGACTACTAATAAAAAAAAGCTTGATTTAAGAGTAATCAGAAACGCTTTAAGGTCGCTTATAACAACGAGAAACCATCGACGGATCCTTTGGCAAACTGGTACGAAGTCCTTGGTCGCGCATTGAATAATTGACGGAGAACGTAAATAATTAAACGAGCCTTTTAGCGAACCCGACCTTAAACTTACTCGCCTGGCCGTAACAAGAGAGACGTTGGAATAAGACACGGAACGACGAAAGAAAGAACGCCCCCGGTCAGGGATGTAAAAGTAACGGTCGTAAGAGTGTCATTTACTGAGAAGAGATGTGCGCGGTTATGAAAATGCTCGGAAAATGGAAAAACGATGGTAATGTCGCGAGCTGGTGTGCCGTACAATTGTTATAAAGAAAATCAACGTGAATGAAAAATGCACGATCGAGTTGAACTAAAACGACACTCGTTCTCCAAAATAACACCGTCATTACTTTGTTGGTGATAATATAATAGAAATTAAATTGTGAGAGAAATTAATAAAGCATTGTGCGTGTAAAAATTCAAATTCAGTATTTTCAACAAATCGAATCACTGTCGTCGCGCTGATTAAAGCAGAAATGCGATAATCGTGTGTCACCGATGGATTTGTCATAATTAGCACCAGCGCTAAATAATTAGTTGAAACTAATGGCGCTGATCATTCTCCTCTACTTGAAATTATTAAACGCGAAGGAATTACGCGAATGGAGAATTCGGACAGCGCGAAAACTTTCTGCGAACAAATTCGGCATCGCTGCGGCAGAATTGTTGAGGGTAAAATCTTTATAAACCGTAAAAGGGCTTTTGATTTCGTTTCAGCCACTTTCTGTTCGTCGTCTCGTTTCCGCTTTCGATTGGTTCTCTCCCGTCCCTTTCTTTCTCGCGTGCGCAGGATTCGACAACCGCATGTCTCCTAGATAAACTTAATCCCACCATTATCGTTAAACCATTATCGTTTTCATTTTCATTTATATCTTCATAACGATGAGTTTTCGAGGCTTTTCGGTTAGGAAACGTACGGCGCCTTCGATTACAATCATAATCGGCATTAGATCGCTCGCAATTTCTCTCAATTTATCTCTCGACGTAATCGGGTGCTTCGCCGCAGATTTCCGTCGCAAATTCGTAACTCGGGAAAACATCGCACGGCGTACATGCAAAAAGTCGAAAACCTAGTTCGAGGTGAACTAACACGCGCGCTCGAGTTTAATTCCCGCCGGGAATCGCGCTCCCGCTAGTAATCGACAAGCGCACAAGCTCGGCGCGAGAAAAAGAATACGGGGCTCAGACGTGACGGCGCGAAAATGTCCGGGGAGTACAGGAAGTCTACATCCTTCGAGAAGTTGAGTGTGACTAAAGCAGAAAGTATGAACGGAATAAAGGCGCGTTGTTTGAAGGTCGAAGGAAAGCGTCGTCGGCGCCGCTACTTTTTACATGCCTTTCGCGTTCCGCACGGGCGTGCAAAATTCTCGTGAAAGAAAACTCAAGTCTCCTTCGGGATCCTGCAGAGTTACAACAATGATTCGGTCTACGGTAAACCTACTCACCTTGAAAATTTTATATGCTGGAAATCGTTGGATAGACAAACCGTCACGAGCGGCCAATTGTACTTTTGTGATTTTTCGGGATCTAAAGCTAATAATTTCTGGCTGCCCGTCCTTCTAGTTTGCGTAAAATACGATTGAAAAAGGTTGAATATTTCCGAACAATATTATTCTTGAAGTCGGACCTGGGAGTCTCGGTACTTTTCGTATAAATCTCCGGCCCCGTAAATTTCCCAGACAGAGATGCGAGCGATAAAGGTAGATTTCAGTTCGCAGTAGAGACAGGTACAATACGTTGTTTGATAATCTCCGCTCGAAATCGCGCGTCCAAAAGTAGCCGTGGACAATGGAACAAGAACAAAAGGGGAAGTTTAAACAGAAGCAGGAAAGGACGAATGAGGCAAGACGTTAATGCGTAAGAACGACAGTGCCTGAAAAAGAATAGCATAAAGGCCCTTCTCTTTTATCGGCGCGCTTTTTTGTCTTCATTTTGACCGTACGACGCGCGCGGAGAGACACTCAGTCTCACATATCACTCCGCATTGTTTCACTGCAATCCCACGACACAGATCGTTCTTTTATTTTTATCTTCATTAGCGGAACACAATCCTGCAGCAAACATTCATTTTGATATAATAAAATAGTTTAAAGGGTAAAGATGACGAATGTTCTTGAAACCTGATCTTAAAATCGTTTGAGAATTTATTTAAATCGTATCGTTTAAATTGACAGACGTCCCCCCTCGGAATTCAACGTTTAAGCGGAATCGATTAGACGAAAGAGTGTGATAATTAATGAGAATAGCGTGACCTCGAGCGATGCATACAAGATATTCCATGCGGCCTCTTTGTAGCAATCAAAGCCGCAGACGTGCATTCCACGATCAACTGTCCGATACACTATGTGTCGACAAACGTTATCGGTCGACATTCCGACGTCGCAACGAAAGTTGCAGCGGGCGCGAATAAATGAGACGACAAATACGTCGCGACGCGAGAACTAGGCTCCGCAAAGTTATCGGTGTCGCTTTTATCTTCGATTCCACCCTCCGCGCGACCGAATACAACAGTCTAACGTTCGATATCGTAGAGCATCGTTTACGTGCGCGACACGTGACGAGTTCACGTGGGGCAGATAATCCCGCGCAGTCATCTAATTCGTATGCAGAGGCAAACACGTATTAGCGCGCGCCAGAGCGGAAAATCCAACAGAAACGATGGCTGTTCGATGTAAATTCGCGTAAACAGCTGATAGGGGGAAAAAAAGAACCTGATTGGAACAAGAGAACGTGACTTTCGTTCGAGTCCGTAATCTCCGCGACGTATCTTTCGACGAACGGAAATGACGATTGCGATACGTCACGAAATTAAGCTGTCGGCCCTTGCTTCGGGATTATAATGACATTATTCGCGGTAATTAGCGGGACTGAGTGCGCACGTCGCGAATAATTAGGATAGTTAGACCTACAATTATGGCTATTCGACCCCTATTAGGCCCTCCCCTCCCCCAGCACATTGCATTGTACCAAACTGCATTCAAACGCTACAATTCCGCTTGAAAACAACAAAGCTTAGTTTATCAGCGAGAAAATATTATTACCCAGACTTGCTCAAACTACATCCTTGTTTTAGAAATACATTTTTATTTCTGATATCTATATCTTTAAATTGAAATAATTTGAACCAATAGTCAATAGTCCACTTCCTCTTTTATGTATAACAATTTATGTAGACAATCATGTCCGCGTTCTTTTGGATGATTTTCCTTATATCTTTTTGAAAATATTTGTTAAACACAGATAAGTATAAATGTTTAGGTACAGGAAATTCTAATAAAAAAATGATTTCAACCCGCAGGAATTGATTTTGACCACGGACGGTGACAGACAGCTGAGTCCGCACACCAGCAGGATAATGGTGAGCAACTGCTCATCTGTGATACTCGCGAACTCGAGCCTGGCCACGATGACCGGGCTGCGATCGGTGGATCTCGTGAACGTGGCGAATCTAACTCTAGTCAAACAGAGCTTCGAGCTATCGACGCAAAGCACGCGTACGCGTATCACCGTGCGGAACAGCAGCATCGACGTGATGCCGAGCTTCGTGTTCCGCGGCGACGTCGAGGCGATCATATTCGAGAACGTGCGGATCGGTCAGCTGAGTGCCTTCTCGTTCGCCAATCTGATTCACACGGATACCCTGCGACTGGACAACTGTCGCATCGAGATAACGGAGGCGCAGGCCTTCAAGAAGTTCGACGTCGGCTATTTCCACGTAATCGGCGGCAGCTTCGGCGATCAGCTGCCCAGCCGCACGATGAACGACATCGAGGTCTACCATAAATTCATGCTGGACGGCGTGAAGCTGGGCGTCGTGAGGAGCAACGCTTTCATCGTGAAGAGTCCGCGCACGGTGGCGATACAAAATTGCGCGATCGACAGTCTGGAGACCGAGGCGTTCGACGTGACCGCGCGCGGCGCCGTTATCGTAAAAAATAACACCTTCGGCAGCATCAGTGTGGGCGCGTTTCTGGGAATTCGCGCGGATCGCGAGAACAGGCCGTCATCGTCGTCGTCGTCGTCGCAGACGCACGATCTCATCTTCAAAAACAACAGCGTGAACAACTTCGAGGAGGGTTCGCTAATGTTCGACCGCGCGAGCTTTCGGCCGGAGCTCGATAATCTCCTCATCACGCAGTCTTGCGACTGCCAAACGTTGCCCGTGTGGAAGAACAACGTGCTCAACTATACGAACGTGTACTGGCGGTTCTACACGCGGCAGAACACCCTCGTGCCGCCGCAGTCGCAACCCCAGGAGCCTATTAACGAGACCCCGGAAACTTTTCTGTGTCTCGACGGCGGAATAAACGGTGCGCCAACGAGCTTCGGCGACTACGAGACGCGTCACTGCTCGCTCGGCGGTTCCATGCTCGTTTTTATTCTAATTATCGTAGGTGCCGTTCTCGCCCTGACAGTGTGCGTGTGTCTGATCGTCTGGTGCTGCCGGAGACGCCGACGAAATAACCGGAAGAAGTGGATCAGCGTGCCCACCAACGCGCCAGACGTGGTCTCGAAGAAAAACGGCGTGATCGGCAGGGAGGCGGCGACGTCCGGCACGCCGGTCGACAGTCGGATAACCATGGTGGTGCCGGACGGTAGGCTGTACCGAGAAACGGAGTTCCACGTGATCGTCGAGAAGGCCGAGCCGCTCACGACCGAGTTGTAACGAGACGCCCCGGGCGGCTCGACGCGGAGGCCCACGATCGTCGCTCCCGTTGAAGAGGAACTCGAGTGGGCGGAAACGTCGAGTCGCTTTCGAGTGTATAAGCTGTGAGAGACGCCGCGCGAGACCGGCACTAATGAAGAACAGTGACGATCGGTATTCAAAGAACACGAGACGAACTCTCTCGCGATAGAGAAATTTCTCGGACATTAATCGCGAACGAGTACATAGACTGCGTGTAAATCGTTGCTGCTTGGAAAATAATAGAACGCGAAGCGTACGCAACCCCGAACGTGTCCCGTTCTCTCTTTTTCGTTTAATCTATTATCACTCCTAGTACAACCCAGTTCATAAGCTTCCATTCACATATCACGGGAGGCGATTGATTATCCATCGCGCGAGCTTTGCATTCCTCGAACCGCCTTCTCTTTCGAACGCGGCCACGTCCCTCTATGGCGACTAAAGTTTTCCAGAACGAACTGCGGATTCGGGTAATCAATTGCCTCTATTAGTTATTATTAAATAACTTTCGAGAGAGAAAAAGGGAGAGAGAAAGAGATAGAGAGCCAGTGTCGTAGAAAATAAAGCGATCCCATCGAGACGCGACTTGGAATGCAGAAGAGAGAGCGTAACTCATGTAGAAAAAATCCTAAACTCGCTGTCTTGCGTAAGATATACGATTGAATCGACCTTTCGCACTCCCGTTGCTTTAAATTCATCGATCGATAGCGCAATTATCGACGTGACATTACGTATTAGTGAGTGTTTCGAGCGAAAATTACGGTACGGAAGGACCAAACAAAAAATAGGACAACCGCTCTCGCTCGAACAGCTGTGCCATTCCTGGAGTGACTTCGCATATGGTCCACTCCGAAAAAATTCTGATCTCTCGAACGAGTAAACGAGTGAACGAACAGAAACGGACCTCCTCGCTATGCTTTCATATCAAAATCGTTCCAAAATTGTCGTTTTTATAGAAAAAAAAATTGACACAGTAATGTAACGCATTAATGGGCGGAAATAAAAAACCGGCAAGATCAATGTATTAAAATAAAATACCATACTTTTTATCAGTGGCGAATCTACTAATAAATTAACGATATATATCGACTTCGCTTTCTCCAATATTGTTTCTCCAACTTTAAAATTTATTTTAATTATTTTGTTGTAAATAATAATTTTACGTTATAGAAATAAAATTAATGTTGTCGTATTTTTGAAAATATAATTTTTGGCATAAAAGTGCCTTTTACGTCAACCTTGTTAATAATTAAGGATTTGTTATGTGCTTTAAACCAAATGTGTGTATATTTTTGCTTAGAAGTTCCAAAAATATTAGATTTAAGTCGCCAAAAATGTAGATTCGTCGCTATACTGCCGAGAAAAACGAAATCCGATAAGCTAATTTTTACTTGCGTTGCGCTATAAATTCCTTTATCATTTCGTTATTCTATTAATGCCGATGTATTTATTTATGCGCTTGCTATTGAACTTGGCAATAAACTGTTGTTACTGTTATAATTTAAATTTAATCTTAAGTAAATATTAGTAATCAAAATGTTATTATCGTTCCGCCGTATGTTAGTAATGTAACGCTGGAAAAAATGTCAGCGAAACAGATGATTTTGTAGAATCAAACGAAAATTACTTTAAATGTACATCCCGTCATGTAGCAATATTCTATGACGCATTTAATCAGCGTGTAATGAAACCGTTTAAAAAGACCTGATTAAGAGCGAACCTAACCGTAGATCCTTATAAACGATGAAAATAAATAAACGTTGAATCCCTTTCCCTACAATTAAAGAAGACGTATTCGCGGCATTAAATTAATATTTTGATAATTATAAAGAAAGATATACTTCTCGCCAATTACGAAAAAAAAGAAGTAAAATAAAACTTGTCGGAAACTATAATATATCGCACGACAGAGTTGATTTATTAAACAGAAAGCCCAAGCATTCGAAGCACGGAGATAAGCAACGTCTCAAGCGCATGAAAGAACCGAATTGAAGCCACGGAAACTTTTTGTGCCTCTTACACTTGGTACCTTGAACCTCGTCAAGGTAGGTCTTATTAGCATTCGCGTACCAAAAGATCAGAGTCTAATACGCCGCAGCGTATGTGCAAACTGTATGTGCAGGTATGTATGCGTGTATACATGATGTAATTATATCGTTGTGGTGAACAAAATCAGTTTGTAATGTCATATGTAGCTATAATTATCGTGAGACTGTGATATAACGACAGCCGCCGACTGTATAATTTGTTTCGCATTGAACGATTGATGATACAATAAAGATGATACCAATTACGTACTTGCTAATCGCATTAAGATTGTTCGATTCATTCAAGGAGATACACGTGCTAATAGTCCTTTAGCTAATATATTTCATTAAGGAGTCTATATATCATTTAATACATTCGCGAAAATAAATGTTAATTTATGTTATCTGTATTTTACAGATAATGACGAAAACCCAGTTATATAATTATCAACTAAAAACGTAGTATCGCGTAAAACACTATGAGTTTAAAAATTATATGATTTTTTTATGTGTTTACGTTTAAATTGCTGAAATACGCGATTCATGTATCACGTCACGCAATTGATTAAGTATCATCAGATATTTATGTGTATTTATGACCTATTTGCTGTGGCCTTGTTCGAGATAATTTATCGCCACGCAGACAAATAAAATACTGGTTCAATTGGATTTTTTAAAAAAGAAACCATATGTCTTACATATGTTGATTGCAAGTAAAAGACATTAAGTTTTCTAGATATATATAATGTATAGAATATTCTCTCTCTCATAAATCGTAATAATAATTGTTATATACTCTATCGATACAGTTTCTTTTTTAATTTTAAAATAGTAAAATTGATGTTTCGAGTACTTACCTGTACGGAAGCACGCCGTCGAGAGCCTGTGAAACGGTAGGAGACGACGCGAGTGCAAATCCTCGTCCAAGTAATGCCGAATGTACGGAGAAAATCCTCTTTGCTGTTTCCTGCATCGATTCCAAGTCTTCTTCAACTTCTTCCGCTAAAAATAATGATGTCATTATAATACCATAGTATTATAGCATCAAATTAATCTAAGAAATTATTATTTTTTACACGATTGAAATAACAAGGAATCTTCTTGAGATATCTTCTCGCAAACTAGAAGAACTTACCGTCTCACAGTAACGTTTGAAATATTTTAAAACATACTAGCATTCATGAACATATTCATATTTATTGGTTTATTAATATAAAATGAAAGAAGTGTTGTACTTACAGGATACTGGAGGTAACGATAAATTTTTCTTCATGAGACTTGCAGCGCACGCTCCTCCGAGGAAGGACAACTCAATTTCCAAATTTTTCAGACCATGGCCAGACGTTATCCAATCGTAACCAATAACCAAGCATTTGAAACCGTACGTGATGGAACTTTCATTCTTCATATAATCAGACGCGGTTTCCAGAGAAAATATCACTTCATTTCCTAAACAAGAGCAAACAATTTACTGAGCGTATTTTGTGCAATTATATAATATTATCTATTTTTCGCTAATACCTGATATTTACCTGATAATACAACAGCATTTTGTGGCCATTGACTCTGAACATTGCTCAATTTATGCAATACCGGCCAATATAGAGGAGCATCTTCACTTAAAGTATTCAGAGCTGTCCTGTAAAGGTAAAAATCTAGGTATAAGATATGCATATGCAATATATTATGTACGAAAATATTATATATTTACCCAGCGGAGGAGTTGGAAATTATATTTGGTATATAAAGTTGTAGATAGTCCTCTGGTTGCGACGTTCCGCACTCCGGAGTAAATTCAACAGTTAGCCACTTCACCGTTTCCGGAAAAGTGACTTTGTAATACGACACTGTCGCGGGTTTATAAGGATGTTCGCTTTCTAACCAAGTATAATGATGACTAGTAGTAATTGGAGGAGCAAAGTGTGATTGAGTTTCACTATCTTGAGATATTTGAGAAGTTCCCATCGCAGACAATAAGTTCAAAGCAGCGACGTGCGGTAACATCTCCTGTATCAGAGTGAGTATTTGTACGCTGCTCTGAAAGAAATAAAAACAATTTTGATATTAAAAATACTGCTGCCATCTAAAATAATTTTAAGAAATGTTCAGAATCACTTACTCTGGGATCTGAAGTAGCTAGAGGACTAATATGAGCCATCACTAGCGGCAGGAGAGTTGTTACAAAAGTCGCGTTACCGAGAACTTCATTCGCTATTACTTCTTCAGCTCTTTCTCGCGCCAGGGAGAAAATCTCGTTCGATCGCTGAATGATTGTTGCGGTCATGGCAAGTGTACACTTTCTCGCTTGCACTTCCGCCATGGCTTTATTCGTGTGTTGCCCGTCGGAATCTTGTGGATTCGAATAGTATAAAATATGCGGTATTTGTCCTCTAGTTTGCGTTGTACCTGCAACAACATGGCACATTAATATCCATATATCTGCATAATATCTTCCTCAAGTACGTGCAAATTTTCAACGCACCATTAAAACTTAGGGAACAAGCCGTAAAGGTAAACGTCGTGCCATCTGCTCCTTTCACAACGCTTAAGCCGCCGTCGCCGTTACTGGTACGTCCTCCACGATTTCGCAATCTAATGGCATACTTAACATTCTCTTTTATAAGCACTGGTTTGTCAAATTTCAATTCTACCACATCATTGATACAATCATCTGGTCCGAAAGATCCTCTCGTAAAGTCCAAGCTGCTCCAGCGCTGAGTATGCGACGGATCGTTACCGGTATTATTTTGCTGCAAAAAAAAAAAAATTAGCACTGTAGAATTCAAATTTATAGAAATGTAAATACATTACTCACATCATCCAACAATTCCAATTCATAGTCATATATTCCTGCGCCTCCGTAGATACCGACACCGGCTATAAGTATGCCTGGTCTGTCGACGGAAAAGCAAATAGCATCCGGAGAACCGTTACCCGTGTTCCACGATCTCGATTGATTTGTCCTTGTGAATCTCGAAGGCGTCGTATACATGAGTCTGCCGCATGCTGCCTGTAGCTCGTCCTCGTTTCCGCTCGATTGCGCAGCCAATTCGGCGATAACTCGTGCCAGCAAATAACAGCAATGAAGAACCAATTCGGACAGTGAATGAGTCTTTTCTCTACAAAGGTTCCTCTTGATCGGTATCAATATTAGATCCAATAATCTGTCGAGCACCTCGCGAAACGACCAATTCAAGATCTCCTTGCCAGAGCTCTCCACTTGCGACTTGTAACTGATCTGTTCCACCAAAATCGGATACTGATGAGTTTCCGTGGAGTTCATCATAAGAAGACCAGCATTGTCGGATGGACTGAGCTGTCGTTTCACACTGTCGCTGCTTTCCATGATATTGCTCAGTATAGGAAACGTACATCTGAGTCGTATTGCAGAATTGCACAACGAAGCCAGAACGGCGGAAAGAAGACGGTCCTTTGTGGTTGTACCTTGTTCCTTATCGATTTCCGATAACAACTCACACAAGGATGTCCATTTCAGATACGCGGTGGGATAAAAAGCATGATAACAAGCTACGAACGTCTTGTGGCATTCGTCCAGTATGCTGTTGGTCATCTTGTTTCCCAAAGTACTGCCGGAACTTTTATTAGAGCGTGTCTTTCCTTTGCTTTTCAGAGTGATCGGCAAAGAATCAGACAGAATTTGGCGCAACAACGCCCGCACTTCGCCTATGCATTCCGCCAGACGCACCGATTCGGGCGGTGTCTTTTTTATGATGTGATTAGGATAAATTTCATTGGTATACGTTCTGAGCAATCTTAAACTAGCTTTACTTATGTAAACCAGCCGTTCCATCTCGAGCATCGCGTGAGTCGACGACGCGATATGAACGGCCGCGTCGGCCAGTGCCGCTTTCAACGTGTTCCAGCTCCACTGAAGAAGAGATATCAAGGATTGGAAGCACTCCTTCGTCACGGTCCTACTGAATTCCCTCTTTAGCACGTAAACCGGCTCAATTTGGTCTCGCTGCCTGTTCGACGTCTGATTTTCAGGTGTGATCACGCGGTACAATAATTGCGGAATCTGACCGGCGTTGACGTCGGTACCATTGTTGGATCTTTTAGAAGATTTAAAGTAAAACATCACCTGATCTTCGGCCGTGACCATTCCTTGCCCGCCGGAGCCGCAATCGCTGGACGGTCCACCGACTTTGGCCCACGCTACGTACCACCTGTTCGCTTGCAGAGAAATAGGCTCATCAAACAGAATCGAATACTTCTGCCTCGGTCCACATTCGTACGGGATCTCTTCCGTTTCCGCGAGAAGTTCTCCGTCGTTCTCTTGGTCCCCGCCATCGATCCCGATGTCGAAGAGCTTTATCTTTGCGGTGTATTCACCGCGGCCACCGAACAATCCATATCCTCCCAACAAAATGTCCGTGTCGGGCATAAATCGAATCGCTTCGATCGAATGAGCGGAATAGCCCCATCCTCCGCCGTGACTCTCAAACCTGCTGACGGTGGCAAAGTCTTCGCGACTGTAGACCTTGCCGTGCGTCGATGGATTGCATTCGTTCTCTTCGACTATCGATAGATTTTCATCTTGAGCCTGCGTCAAGGTGTCCAAACAAGCTAATAAATGCATCGCGGCTTGAGAACGAGTCACGAAGCAAGTTGGGACAACCGGAAGCGCCAGGCCTGGATTGAGTATGGAAGCTTCTAAACCGGGTATCGTCCGAGCTTCCGTTGATATTATATTGTACAAGCTTATCTCATTATTCGCTGAATTGAATGTCCAGATAACATTGTAGAGAGGATCCAAACACGCTGCGCAATTGCTGAAGTCGACCTGATCCGCGCCGCTGTAACTGTTGCACGTTCCGTCACGTTTGCTTATCACTAGACTTTTAAAAGAATTTGCGTGCTCGTTCTGATGCGGTATTAAAATGATGCAATTCTTGTTTGCCATAACGGTGCTTCTCGTTAAACTGATGGAATTTATTTCGTCTATCTTAACGTAAGTTTGATCACCAGCGGCGCCGATCCACGTCGCTCGTCTGCCCCATCGCGGTCCGATGTTCGGAACCACATTCGGAAAACTGTGCCACGGTTGCGATCGATCGGCACGACGGTTCGCTTGGGAGGTGTTCGTAGATTCGTTCTGACCGTTCCACCAATTCATACCAAGTTGTCCCTTCTGATACGCGCCAAACGTATACACTTCGCCCTTTGACGTGAGTACGACGGTATGATTGCTCCCCGCGGCCACCTGAGTGGCAATGGTCGGTAATTTAACTTGAACCGGTCCCGCGTGCGTCACTAAATCCCCGACGCCTAGCTGGCCGTATATATTACTACCGAATGTATACACTTCTCCGTTTTGCAAAAGTAATACCGTGTGATGCAAACCGCAGGACACTTGAATCACGGGACTTTCGCTAGGTATGGGAACTCTGGCCGGTGATATACTAGCGATCCTCGCCGCGTCTCCTCTCTCCACGTCGCTGCCGCCAACGGCTTCTTCGGCCGCAAGATTACCGCCCAATCCTAATGCCACTTTTTCCGGAAATCCCTTCTGCGAGATACTGGGGCCGGCCACGCGTTGATTGTTCACCCCTTTGATCTTCACTCCATATTTGACAGTAGTGACACTTGGCCCTGCCTTGCTCCTTTGCCGCTGCTTTATTTCGCCCAGTCGTCTTTGCAGGTACTCTCGGAAGTTGGAGCCCGATATACCGTTGCTGCAACTCTTTCTCGCACAGGTGCGACAGCATCCGCACTCGGCGCATCCGCTGTCTCCTTCGCCGCAGCCGCACTCCTGGCCAGGATTCCGATCGGGACGTATACTACTCAAACACGATATACTATAGCCAGTGCATTCTCTGCATATCGTGCAAACCATGCAAACGCGATGCCTCCACTGATGTTGCCCCGGCGGACACATTCCTCTCGTTTCCTCCCAATCTTCCACGGGATCCACACTCTCCTCTTCCGCTATTATCAGTTCGTCCTCTCCTGTGCCCATTTCCATCGCAACTACAGCCATCTCTTTATTCACGGTATGCACTGTAGCAGAATCACGACCGCACTGTCCTTTATTATTGATGCCGAATGTGTACAAATGCCCTTTATTGGTTAAAGCAGCGGCATGAGCCTTTCCTAATGACACGCGAACTATAAGCACGTCCCTTAAATCGGTAACTAATCCTGTCACTGGATCACTATGTAATGTATCCTTGCCGAACATTAACAGAGAGCCGTCTTTCGTCACTAAAGCAGTAGATCCATTATTGCACGCGGCATCTACGATAAACTGACCTTCCACTTTCGCCATTTTCTTTGGTTTCACAGGTTTTGGTTGCCTACGAGCTTTATCTAGAATAAGATAAATAATTTGTATTATTTTTGTTGTTATAAATTAAAAAATAGCTATTATCCACAGTAAACTTACTACTATCTCCATCTTCCCCACGTCTAGCGGTACCGGCAAATAATACAGAGCCATCCTCCATTACCATAATAACATGTTGACCATCGTGACCTGCCGCGAAATGCGCAATCCTCGGACCTTTGCCAAAGGTAAGTTCCAGCCACCTATTAGGCCTTGTATTGCTCTTCATTCCTAGGCAAGTTCCTTTTCCGCTATACAACAACTATAAATAGTACAGATTTATATATAAAATAAAATAAACTAGATATATTATATAACATATATCAAATTGAGCAATTAAAAAATTGTTAAAAATATTTCTCACATATACTTACTTTTCCAGATACTGTTTTAAGTAAACCAAATTCTTTTCCTGCCGTAACCATTGCAATTTCGTCGTCACATCCTGGATTTAAAGTATGTATCGCTTGTTCTTCATCAAATGACGCATATCCGAATATATCTACACATTTCCTTGCCAATTTCAGTGGCAGTTCAGAAGCAACTGTTACAGGATTACTCAATGTATTTATTGTACGCACCACAAAGCCATCCTATTAAGAAAAGATGAGAGAATTAATTCTATAAATATTTTAAATAAAAATATTTATACACAATTACAAACTTACATCTTTTCCCGCCGTTATCATTCCTAAATTTTCGCCATCGGAGAACATGACAGAGGATGACCAATCTTTTCCCTCTAATACAGCAATTCCTGTCACTATAAGCGTTTCTGCATTGATAATTAATAATTCACTCTGCTTTCTCGGTGCACATTTGAAATATAATGAATTCTGCAAGAACTTGGTATAAGTGACAAATTATTTACTATCGTATAATCACAAATATATGCAACTAACATTAGCATAGCCGAGCCATCCTATTTCTGTTGGATAAAAATCTGCCTTATGTACGTATATATGCCCCCATATTGTACCACCGTGGCCGCTTCCAATTTTCAATAATCCACGAGATGTGTGCAAATATAAGTACTTTCCATCGCTTACAAAGCTGCGCTCATTCAGCACCATATTGTTCATTTCATTTGGTAACTTAAGCGTAGAAGTATATATCTTGGAACATTTAGGAACTCCATATGTAATCCAATCTGGTCTAACGAGTTTACCTAATAAAACAGCGTGAATACTTCTCTGCAGAGACGTTAACACACATGGCATCTACAATACAGAATTACATTTTATAATATACTGTAATTTATCACATGCAAAGCAGTGATAGATTATATACACCATTTGTGCGAAAGTACCTGAATATTTTGTACTGCTAATGCTCTTGGAGACATGAGCAAAGCCGCTATTGCTGCCAACAATCGTCCAGTATCTCCTCTGACCACAACAAGACTCAACAAACACGCGCAAGCAACAGCTGTCAAGTGACTGCCATCATTGGCAGCAGCTGACTCAGGACCATGAGATGTCGCAAGATCCAGTAACAGATCGAATAATGGATCTAAAAAAGTATATTATTAAGATACATAATTTGTGAATTGTGCTTACAAAGAATGATAACTCAAAGATACAAACCAATGACATCATCTGGTTCGGATTTAAGGCCTTCAGGTAGTTGCCCTTGCAAAACATCCAATAAAGCCGACAATGCTTTTGTACATAAAATTGGATCAACTGTTCTACTTTCTCGCATCAATGTGAAAACGCTTCTTAAACCGATACCTACAATCTTTATTAAGAAAAAGATTTGTTTTAGTTATATATAATACACATACATGAGTACATGAGCACAAGTATATAACAAATAAAAGTACACTATTATGAACTGCTTTCACCTTTGGTAAATTTTGTATAGTTGATATCCTATCTTCATCATCACTTTCTGTATCTATAGTATCGCTAAGCTCGGGCGGTGGAGAATTACAGTTTGATGCTCTATAAACCTCACTCGACAATTTTGCATATTTTTCTAAAATAGCATTTCTCACACTAGCAAACACGGCAAATGCTGAGGCATTACAAGATGTTTCTATCTCAGGTGGATTATTATAATTTAATTCTCCGTTTAATTCTCCAATCTGCACATACATGAGAAATGTCAAAATATATTTCACTAAAAAATAAAAACATTATTATAATGAATAATACCTTTTTCTTGTCTCGTTTACGAATGGTTTTATTTTTTTTACACTTCCTCCATTCTCCCTTGCTTCTAGAAAAAATATTATTATAACATCCGTATTTAATCAATTTGTTAAATCTATTTATATATATATCACAAATGTCAAAATGTATTTTATCTATACTATAGCAATAATTATATAATTTTATTATAAATATAATCACAATTTATTATAAATATTGTAAATATAATAAAATTATTTGTTTTATTATGAATTATGTGAAAATTTCAATATGTTATGTACAAAATAATGAAACAGTAAGATAATTTATAGTAAAGAGATTAATGAAAAACATTTAAAATATCGAAATTAAGAATAAATAAGGAAATTAATGATTAATAAACAAAAAATTTAAGGTTACGTTTTAAGCCGATAAAATACATCATGACCCGTATTTAATTAACGCCGTTAGATTTAAATTAAAAATTTTATTTAATCAGAAGCCGAATTATTTTTTCCGCTGAATTGTAAACCGGTACAGCAGAAATTGATTAGCGGTGAAGTCACCGCCGACAGCGTCGAGTAAACAAATCGTGAAAGAGGTTATATGCCACACTTTTGTCGCACCTTTGCGCCTCAGCGACGTTCTTGAAGAGATCGTAAAAACACTTGGCGTAATTTTCGGGTTCGGGCAGTAGCCTCTCGTTATCCCCCGACACCATGGTTCATGCGAAACTTTTGACATATGAGTCACCAAATCATTTTCGCGATGCTATTGATCGTTGACATTCGCAAGCTGTCTTCACCATGTGATAACATTACACATCCTGAAATCGTGGAAAAGAATATTCCGATGACGTGTGGCGGTAAATATGTGTTGGTGAAGAACTTTCGATTTTTCGCACTGCCGGCGTTTTATTTTCTTGTTATCCTTACGAGGTTCAAAAACGAAACGTCTTCGCTCCGTTCGCGTAGTTTGTCTTGAACAGTGCCACACGGACCGCGAGTATTTGGCGCGATTTCGATAATCGAAGTGAATTATCGCAAGTGACAAACCGCGCAAACTTTAAACGTAAAATGTAAACGTTAAATGTCAGCACATTTGCATGAGTATATATGTGTCATATGTATATTTCACTAAAACCGAAATATTTTACGGCAATTCATCGTCATGCATTTCTATATATATTACTCACGTCACATGTATGCGTCATATTCAGATATATTTATAAGAATGTTTATTATCACTGTAATCCGTAATGCCGCAAATATGTGCAAATGAAAACAATCACTTGATAAATGTGAACAATAACTTTAAATACGGATGAATTATTTGCAAGGAATCATTTATTTATAGCTAAAGAGATTTATAGCTACTTCTTTTGCAAATTTCAGCAACTTTGCACATGTAAACAGGAGCAGTTTTATCTCCTCTTTGAGCACGATAAGAAAAGTTGGTTATTTTTCTCAATGGGCGAAATCAATTTATTTGTTAATAGTAATAAGTAAAAATTGAACAAAAGATCATTGAAAAGATGTGAATTTACACGAATTTACAGGTTTCGTTGATCACGTACGCGTGCGTCTCACCATATGAACATAAAATGCAACACGGCACAATTTGCACGACTGCTCAACAATTCGATAACGTGTCATGTAGAAATTGGCAGAGTTATTCGCAACAATTCGCAAAACCTACAAAGTATGAGCGAGAACTACTTACTGTTGTATAGTGTGAGAGTGACAAAGTAATATCAAATGGAATAAAGTATATATATATATATGTATATATATATACATATCTATATATATATTACGCTTATTACTGTGTGATAAAATTTGTCGCGCAAAGTAACAGTAACATAACCTTAAAAATGAGAAATCGCAATCCGATTCTAATTTTCGATCGAATATTGAAGGATACTGTGATTTTACGAATTTGAAACACTAAGTTTTGATTAATTATTAATTATTTTTTAAATAAATCAAAACTTGATAAATCTTTATATTTTTTAAAATATAAAGATACAAGTAGAACAGTGAATATGTTACGTATACTGTTTTATAAAATTTTACTATATTTTTCTAATCTTTTTAAATTTTATTGATAGATTGGCTCGAGGGAAATATGCATGATTGAATATAGTTACAAGCTGAAATGCAAGTTTTAATAAATAAGACTTAAGAAGAAACACTGCGTTTAATTTGCATTTAATCACGAAGTGTAAAGTGAGATGAAGCAGATAAGCAGATAAAACGCTTATAACAATCTATATATGGTAAAAGGATATGACTTATCATGATATCACTTTTTCGGTAAGTAAAATTATTTTTTAACTGCACATTTTATAACACATATTATTATCCAAGTTTGTTTTTCAGCCTAGTCAAATGCAAGATTTGATAGCACGCTTGTATCACTGCTCTGTAAATGTAACCTAAATGATAGCCAGCAATAATCTACCGAAAGAATTATAACAAATTTGTGGGAATGGGCAATTGTTTGTGTAAAGACAGTCCAGAACTTGAGACATGTGGCAATAACAGTCATGCGGAAACTCAAAATACCATAATACCAGAACCAAACATATGTATAGTCTCACCTAGTGATTCAGCATCTCCTTCTTTTAAATTTCCCACATCAGCAAATATTGACAAACTTGTATTAGAAACACTTGGAAGTCTTGATACTTTAGTAGATAAGTGAGTATAATAATTGATGTTATTATATATATAAATACATAAAAATTTCTTCTAACATCTGTTTATTTTTATATATTTAGTGATCATGAACCACCACCAGCAATGTTAAAATTAAATGCTATTGCGGACAAGGAAGATGGTTGGATACAAGTAGTTAGTTCTATGGTCAATGTTATTCCAATGCACAATCCATTGGGTCCTTCTGTTATAATATTACTATTAGACGATTGCCCTTTACCTTCAAAGGTTGGCATTTGTTATATTGTAAAAACAAATCATGACAAAAACAATAATATTATTTTTTGATAACTAGGATTCTGTGCTACGATTATCGCATATGTTTCAATTGTCACAAAAACTTGGGCAAATACAAATTACAACTACACAGCAACGTAATATATGTGTAGTACTTGGTTGTATTGCAGAGAAACTTGCTGGTCCTAGTAGTATAGCAATATTATCCGATGCTACTTTAGATTATTTGGTTTCAAATCTAGTAAGTTATTTTATTTAATTAATGTTGAAGTGTCTACAAGTATTTGTACCAGTATATTTTATAAAGTATATCTTAACACGATTTTCTTTTTCTAGCGAGGTGATGTCGAGCCTTATGTAATGTTATATTCTTTAATAGCATTAGAGAAGTTTGCACAGACAAGTAAGCAAGTTAATAAAAATTTGTATTTTTTTAAATTTTAATATATACTAATATATACTTGTATGTAAATAGGTGAGAATAAGGTAACTATTAAGAAACGTCTTATGGCAGAAAAGCAAAATCCATTGCTAGAACTAGAAAAATGGGCTGTTATGGAAACACATTATGTACGCCGTCAAGTTGGTTTCTGTGCACAATGGTGTTTAGATAACTTATGTAAGTATAATAATTTTACGAGATGTTATAATATAATAGCAATAACATAATTTTTGCTTCTTTTTAGTTTTAATGGAAGGTAGAAAGTATTCCCACGACTCGGTTGATGTAACGGGTATTAATGTGATGTTAAATACGAAAGATGTAAGCGAGTACCTGAAAATATCACCTAATGGTTTGGAGGTAAATATATATATTCTTATACTAATACTACATTTCTTTGCTTTTTTATTACTGGATAGTCCATTATTTTAATCTAATGATATTCATTTTAGGCACGATGTGATGCATACTCTTTTGAAAGTGTACGATGTACATTTCAAGTAGATTCCGGCATATGGTATTATGAAACGCTGATAATAACTACAGGAGTGATGCAAATTGGATGGGCCACGAAGGATAGCACGTTTCTGAATCATGTAAACTATTTATACCTATATTTCAAAACATTTACAATTATTACACAGTTGTTAATCGTGCATAATACTACATTATTTTTCGTTTATTCCAATATTAGGAGGGATATGGCATAGGAGATGATATATTTTCTTTGGCCTATGATGGCTGTCGCAGACTGATTTGGTATAATGCACGAAGTGAAAAATTTCACGATAGACCATGCTGGAAATCTGGTGATATTCTGGGCTGCTTATTAGATTTAAATAAATTAGAGATAATATTCTCTATCAATGGTGTACCACTTAAACCATGTATTCAAGTATTTAAAACAGTAAGGTATGCATCTGTTTTTATGTTACGAATAAAATTAAACTTTTTAAATATCAAATAATTAATCGATAATTTTTACGGATATGTTTAGGTCTGGATTCTTTGCAGCGGCTAGTTTTATGTCATTTCAGCAATGCCTTTTTAACTTTGGGAATGTACCTTTTAAATATCCACCCACCGATCGAGAATTTCAAAAATTTAACGACTATGCTATATTGAAACCAGAAGACAAAATCATACTTCCTAGACACATATATCTCGATCAATTACGAAGACTTAGCGTTAGAGAAGATTCTTGTACATTATGTTTTGACCAGAAAGCATCAAGAAGGTTACTACCATGTAACCATAGGTAATATGATTTAAATTTGAATTGTAAAGCAGCAAATTTATACAAGAATGCAATACAATAATCAATTTATTTTTGCAGAGGATTTTGCAAAACGTGTTCGGATCTACTGACTGAGTGCCCAATGTGTAGAGCTACTATCGAAGGACAAGCATATGATAACATATGCTCTGATAACATATGACATCGATCATATCACATCAACATTTACCAATTCTTTTATCACTTCTCTTATATCGTACAATTTTCATGGGAACGTCACAAGATAATCATGATTATGATAGATAGTTATTTGCGCTGTATATTATATACAGTTATCACATGTTCTGTGGCATTTTTCTTACAATACAATGCATTAAAAGATAAAAAGGAATTAAAGGCTATAGACAAAGGAATTTCATGATGGTACGTTATAAAGATTTAAACAATTCTGTGGTTTAAAAGTCAAAAGCGTTAATTGGAGCGCAAATAGAGGTTTTATGAAAAAACAGAACATTCTTCTTGAAATTTTTCCATACTTTTCTCCCCATACTTTTTCTACTATATAGATTTCTAGAAAAATACTGTTTGTGATTTAATAGATCATAAACATTAATTTCAAGAGATTAAAATGATGTATAAGACGAATATGTATAAAATAAATATCAATAGAGAAGTAAAAATAGAAAGAAATCAAATCAGGAGAAAAGTATAAATTAGAAATGCCAAGAAAGCTCATTTTACTTGTTCCGTGTAAAAAAGTTTTGCTTATAGGTATTCTCCATGGGAGCAACTTAAGTATTTCAGGTAGGCAGTTATGTCTAATGTATTCATATACGTTTAGAGAGGAAATGTATATGAAACGAACATGTGCTACCTGGGTATATTTGTTATCAAAAGAACATAACAGATAAAAATCAGAATTATGAGATATACAAACCTAAGATCTGAACTGTAAAAGTAACCAAATTGATAAAAAAGTAATAATGTTTATTGTAATATTATTTTTTTTTTTTATTTTACATGTAAATATAATTTATTTTTAAATTATTAATTGTTTTCGTGATATCAGATGCAATCGTCATTCTTTTATCGGTTGTGCCTAATGATACTCGCATTGAAACTTATGACTGATAAAATTCAAAAAGTTATTTATTTTTTAAAAAAATTCTTCTATTAAAATTATAAAAGTTCAGATTATTTACAAACTTTTTAAATTTTGATAATTTTAATTAGTTTGTGCATATGGACATAATTAGTGATTTAATGTAAACATATCTTTAAGAAACTGTGAAATACCGATAATATAGTGTATATTACTTTACATACACACATTCACATACATATATATTATATTCTTGAGATGATATAATAAGAAATTTAATGTTTTATCATATATATGTATTTTGCAAACATTTTTTTATAAAGTCTTATTTTCGTTATGAATTACCTCTCCCGTTATTCTAACACAGGGGTGCCCACCGAAATCTATCGGTCGATCGCGATCTACCGATCGTAGCTCGTATGTGCAAAAAGGGGGCAACATTGATATATGGGTTACATGACCAATAATTTTAGATAACAAAATAGAAGATGCTCGAATTCTTTATTACCTTCTATTTATCTGGTTTGAATATTATCCGATATGATTTATGCAATTTTAATAAATAAAAATAAATTACCTAATAAGCATGCGATGCAAATATTAAATTTCGCGCTATTGCGATAAGTGCGAGCGCGAGAATCGAAAAACTATCTCTCGATTAGCGTCAATTCAGAACATAGCCGCGGGAGCGCGCCGCAGTTTGTTACAAGATGGCGGGTGAGTGAGTGCCTGTGGACGGGACGAGACTTCTTCAAAAACATGGGATTTTCCGCTAACCTGTGGTGTTTGTGGGTTTCAGATATATCCTTCATCCAGACAGAAGATCTAGAGGACCCGGACGAGGGTGAGTACTCTGAGCGCAAATATACGCATATTTTACGAAAGCGGTTAGTGTCGTCGCACGCGCGCAACGATAGCTCGGTTTAGTTGCACGCTTGGCGACCCCACTACCAGAGTATACATCGTTCCGGCGTTTGAGAGTACATGCGTGCATGCGTAGATATTGCGCGATGCGTGGTATGCGGAATAATCGCGGCGCACGGCGTCCCAATGCGGCTTCTTGCCGCGGATTTCGAGGTTAGGTTGATACGTCGCCGCGCGCGATACCGGGTGCGCCGTGAAAGACGTCGTGAGAATCTTTGTGCTTATGAAGCGAGTGTCATGTAAGATGAATACTGTCGTACGTGCGGCTGAGATGTGTCGCCGCGCGTGGGGACCGCGTTCCGTGAGATCACGGGGCGGTTCTATCGGTCAAGAGGGGGCGCCACAGAACGCCACGCCGCACCGCCGTGTTTATCTCGACCGCGGCGCGAGAGGATAAAAAAAGAAAAAACGGAAGAACGACAGCGGTGATGAGAGAAGACACGCGTTTATGTCGCGTAAGTATTGCTCCTTTGCCATCATTGTGCTAACGAAAATCGTGAATCATTTTTTTGAACAACGGCGCGACGCTTTCGCAGCAACCACCTGCGATTCGCGTCGCAAATGATGCATCGGTTGCGATGGCATTAAATCGATAATGATCGCGAAAGATTTTATGTAGCGACATTCGGCGCGTATTAATTGTCGAATACCGATGGAATATTCCAGACCGACAGCGTTATCGAAGAAATTAACATTGCATGACGATTATGACGCACGAAACGTCGCGCCGTTGCTTTGAATTTGAGATTTGCGCATTGATGTGCAATTAGATTTATGAAAATTAATCTGGAAACAATTGTAATTGTGCGTCTGTGTCATAATTATACGTATATTTAAATAATAAACAGTCGTACTCGTAAGCTAGGTTATTGTAGCTTATTTCACTCGCTACAGATTCCGTCTTAAGTTGTTCCGTATCAACTCGAAATATTGATATATCGATATATTTCTGATGCGCTGCGCGCGTCACTCTCCGGCCGCCATAACAATTTTTACCCCTGCATCGGCTCGAAGAACACAACAGAGATGTTTCGCAATTAATCGTGTATTTTTTCCATCAGAAGTGCATATCAAGTTCGAATTAATGCTGATTTATCGCCCGAAAATGACGAGCGATTGCCAGAGGTATATTATTTATCGCGGATGTTCGCATTTCGTCGTATTACGAGATCGGTACAGTATGTCTAACTTTCTGTAACTTTCTAACGACAATGCCGCTATCTTTACGTGTCGTTGTGTAAGCATGACGCATCATATAATATCTGCGTAACGGCATAACGATAACATACGAGTACGTCCTGAGAATCGAAGCGCTATGGGCGCGCGGTGTTCATTAGATGTAAAACGGTAAAACATGATAGTTGTGTGCGTGTCCGTGCGTGATAACCTCACATAACCACCAAGCAGTCGTCGTTCGTCTCGCTTGCTCGGAATGCGTATCGAATGGATGGTGGAATGCGTAAGGTGATAATAATCGAGTACAATTATGCGCGTAGACGCGTTGCAGCACAAAGTTTCGGATGCCACGGCTAATTCGCGAAGTAAATTCGTGACTTTTGTGTAAGTGAAGAGCATTGCCTTTCGTTCGATCATCCACATAAATGCGAATTTTCGATATTCATCTTCGATGGAGTTGATATGAAGCGGTCTAACAATAAGACGGAATCCATAGCGAGCAAAACAAATCGTTCTGCAGTTCCCCAGCTAGTGAGTACAATTGCTCATTGTTTAAATATGTATATAATTTAATGATAAGGTATATATAGAAAATAACAATTACATATACAATTCCAAAAAGTTAAATGTTTAATCATGCAAGCTATGGGACACAATTTATATCAATTTCTGTATTTAAAGTTAAACATAAAAGTCGTTTTCGTGTAATAGCACCAAAATGTAAATTTACGGAAATGCTAGCGGTTTTAATACTTGTTAAAAACATTATATTTGTTGAGCTCAAGCAAAAGAGTAGTGGCATCTTTGGAAATACAGAAAACAACGTAGTTAGCACGCGCGATTTCTTAATCTATCGAGGTTACTGATCTTGGATCTTTCTTTTCCATCGTCTATTTGCGAGTACCATCTGTTGTAACTAGGGCCGTATCAGGTCGCCGGTTCTCCCGGTGGTTGCAGAAAATCGCCTGAGAATTTCCTCACTTACGAAAACGTTGAAAATGTTCGAGCAAATCTCAGTAGTTTTTTGCGGACAGCGCGATTAATTGATTTTATGATTACGCGTAATGCAAATAACGGATGACAATTACTCCAATTTGTTCCACTCGAGACACGCACGCGTATTTATCTCCGCTCTCTTCTCCGATCTTCCTTCTCCGTTTCATTCTCGCGGGTATCTTCTCCGTCGCCGACAACCACAAGCTGGTCCTGGGTGCCTTTATCTTACATTCCACAGACCGTTTATCAGCTCCGCTCCGCTCCGCTTATATTTCTAAGCGTGTCTAGATAGAGAGAAGTATTCAGAACAGAACTTTTCGATGCCCGAACACACCCAGATCTAGACTGAAACGAGAGAATATAAGTGATATTTATTGTATAAAGCAAATGTCTTGTTTAACCGTAAGCTATTATATATCAAATCATAATTATATTGTTTTCATAAATGAATATGATACTATTATATGTTGATTTTACGTAGCACAAAATATACACGTGAAACTAACGCTATTTAAAATTTATATCTTGATTGACATCTGAAAATATATGACAAACAAAAATTTACTTTGCTATTTAGTAAAAATAAATTGATTGTTAATAATCTCTTAACTAGCTGTTCATCGATAGTTATTCTACAGCTTTATTGACTGCATTGCCATCTGTAATAGATCATTGACGGAAATTTATGAGATTTTTCGAGGGTGCTACACGGTGCCGTGCGGCAATGACCATGGCAGCCATGGTAACTGCCGGTAATCGATCGCGATTATGCAAATTATTTGGTGACTGGCCGTGACAGCTACTGCATTAGACGTTTCTCGGGCATCGATGATTCCTGCTTTTCATCTGTCTAACGAAATCGTCGCGATTAAATTTTACGCTTTTTTTAATATTTAAGTTTATTTTGTCTTGAAATATTCGAACGATTTACGGATAACAAGAAAAAAATGTATTATAGTTATTCCCAGAAATGTAAGCGATTTTATGAATCAACGACGTACTGAACTTTGTCTCGTCTGAAAGCCTGAAGCTTTTCTTTCTAGAAAATAGTTGGAAATAATCGAAAATATCACAAAACAGATAATGAATTGGGAATCACTTTGTCGTCACTTTGTACGACGGTGAGGGAACGCAGGATTTTCCATTATTCTGTTCGTTTCGGCATAATTTTAATTTGCTTGCCATTTCTTAATATGATTCATGAAGTTTTTTGTAAGCTCCTCTTTCAGACGTCTCGTTGGACGGGGTATCTTTTTCTTTCCGCCGCGTAACGTCGACTTTATCCGACCGGACACGAGAATGGATAAGAGGGGCGGCGGACGCGATGAGGGGAGGAAGGAAAGGGAAGTACACGGGGTATAGAACGAGTATAGGCGGATGTATAAAGAAACTTTAATTTCTTGGCATTGCGTGAAGTTCCTTGCCCTTTCAGCCTTTTCGGTTCGGTGGTCTGTTTTTGATAGGAAGACTACGCCGTCGTCTAGACGCAGCCAGAGGGTTACCTCGGCTTTTATGATCGCAACACGAAACGCACCCCTTAACGTGCTCGAACGCAAAAATACCAGTTTTCTACCCTCTTCCTCGCTCTTTCCTTCTTTCTCTCTCTTTTTTTTCCCGTGCGCGTCAGCCTTTTCTATTCTTTCGTCGGCTGTCGCCCTTCCTATACCCACGTATGGGCGCGTTACATTAAAATGATTTATTCACCTTATTAAATTCGCATTCGAGACTAGCTAAGTACGCGGAGTAGACATCCCACCGAATCGCAAAACCGGAATCCACCACCCTTTCGAGACGGCGAACTTCGCGACGCGTTTGTACACTTCTTTTTTCCCTCGCTTTTTATTTATTACTCTTACCGTCTCGCGGTAGCTCGTTGTCGTAGACGACACCTGTTCTTGCCTCTTCAAAACTATTTTTTAATTGTAAATGTATGTAAAAAAAAACCAGTTAATTCTAATTTATTTGAAATCCGTCTGTGCATTAATTAAAGCTAATTGAGGCTTTTAACTTCTGCTTTTTTTTTCAAAAACAAGAGCTTATAACATTAATCAAATTTTGAGTTAATTTGAACTAATGTTTCCACAGCTTTATTAAATTATGTCTTCAACGATATAAAATTATATTTAACGTTAAAATATTTAACATTATATTCATTATATTAAAAAATCGTGTTGAATGATTTAAATAAAAGATAAATGTTATTATAAATATGGAAACGTTTGCAAATTATAATTCAATTATGCGATACATACAGATACATGCACGTTTTCTCGGAACTAAGTAAACAGCAATGATTTCGAACGAGATAAAAACTAGGATATGTCAACATTTGATCCGTTTCTGCGTCTTCGTTACGGTCCAGTCGAGCGGAGGCACGCTCAGCTGAGAAGTGGCGCCGTCTCTCGTCGAAACGATCGAACGGCGACCGATTATTACATGACATTCCTTGAATACCATTCCAATCTCTCCCTCATCTCCTCCCACTGCCCGACCGGAGCCTTCCACCCTCTCTTCTTCTCCGTTTCTCTTCCCCGATTCACTTTCCCTCTCTTTCTTTCGGGCTCACCCTTTCTATATTTTTTCGTTATAGAGAAGCGAAGCTTCTCAGCAGGCAAGAGGCTTCAACGAAGGAGGCAATACGAATAAACACTTCGTCTTTCTTCCTTTCTTGAATTTTATATTAACTTCTGAGCATCCGTGTCATGTCGATTTAATCCGAGCGACTTTACTTTTATTTATATTTTTTTA